GTGAAGTTCCCGAGTTTTACATTTCGAGTCAAATAATTCATCCATCTTAACCTACAACTTTTTCTAGTTGCGGAAAGACTAAAAAAAGGGAACCTTCTTTTGCATTTAACAAGTTGCAATATCACATGAAAACATCATTATATTTGACAAAGAATAGTTAATTTAAGGGTTGTTTGTTTACCTCTAAATAGTTTCATTAAGAGATACTCTTTGAATCGTTAATAGATGAATCTTGTTTGGTAAAAAAATCTGACTTTTAATAGTTCTAGAACCCTCTGAATGGTTTTGTATCATGGTCTCCCTTAACCATTCAACGCCCTTATTTCATTGTAACAATTATATTTCAATTTGCACTATATCATAAGAGCCTCTTAATCATTCTTATCAGTCAATCATTCTACTCCAAATCATTCAGCAACAGTTAAGCAGCCCTTTACCAAAATACACAAACATCAGACACCATTTCATGATACCATTTTACATATATATGTAACCAACATGTTCTAACTACAAAGCACAAAACAATAGATTGGTTAACTTCTAAATCAATTGGAAACAGAGATGGAATTTATACGTAGCACATAACTCGGAGCTTATAAGGAGCTCAAAGGATATCGAATTCAGATAGTTCGATATCTGCGATATTGCTTTCTCAATATCCTTCGAAGACCGCAGGGTAGATGGTTGTTTATATTCAATCGCTAAGGCACCAATGCGAATATCGGTGCGCCCACTGGCAGTGTGCTGGCGGTTTTTTATACAAGAGAGATCCTGCCCATTGGATTTAGAGATAGATATATTAGTGTGTACTCGGATGGAAGTGCTGCCTTGAGACCGTACCCGGATCTTTGGAGTCCTTGTTGTCTCCCCAGACACAGAAGGCTCATGAAGTTTTATATCATGGGGTAAGAAACCAATCGTCGAAAGAAAACTTTATATCAACCGGGCTGTTTAATTTAAAGAGCAGAAYGAGCGGGAAATGTACGACTTTTTTAGTATAGAGCAACTTAAGAATTTTGTTGTGCAARAAGAGCTCCTAGCGAACCAGGGCGAGCAGCAAAGCGAACAGAGTAACTAGAGAATTCCACTCGTAGATAGGGCTGTAAACGAACCGAACGTTCAACGAACCGTTCGTGAACTGTTCGGCGGAAAGTTCGTTTATTTAATACATGAACGAACATGAACAATTTTTTTTGTTCGGTTAGTTAAACGAACGAACATGAACAAGAGTCTCGTTCGTTCATTTATGTTCGTGAACGTTCGTTCATTTACCGTTCGTTTACGTTCGTTCATTTATGTTCGTGAACGTTCGTTCATTTACCGTTCGTTTATATTTGTTCGTTAATGTTCGTTTATATATTAAGTTTAATGTATTATCTTTTATTTACTTAATTTGAATTCAAATAATATTTATTTATGTTCGTTTAACCTGTTCGTTTAGCCCGTTCGTTTATGTTCGTTCGCTTACGTTCGTTTAGCATGTTAACGAATGAACATAAGCGAACACGAACACACCTTATTTCTAAACGAACGAACACAAACACAAAGATTTTCGTTCGTTTACCGTTCGTGTTCGTTTGTTCGGTTAAGTTAAACGAACGAACATGAACAAGCCTCCGTTCGTGTTCGTGCGGTTCGTTTACAGCCCTACTCGTAGAGCTAGTGTTGAATCTTCATAAGTAAAATAAAGCCCGTATTTTTGGCGTAAATTGCTACTTTTTGAATTCTTGTTTCAATTTATGTGGGATTAGTTGTCAAAACCCCATCCCACATAAATGAATTCTTAATTGAGCTTAGAAATCATATTTTCCATCAGTATAAATCAATAACCATTATTCAAATATAACAACATATTGTATTTTTTTTATTAACCTGGATATCCAACCCGCTATGCGAGCTGATTAATCCCAAGACAACCACCTGCTTTGCAGATAGCCCGGAGTCACCACAATTAAACCTCCGTGGCCACAAGGGGATTTTTATTTCTTCTTGGATTTGAACCTGGAACCTCCTGGTACTTTTGACATTTGGAGTCAAACTCAAACCAATCAGACACCACCTTGTGGTTACATATTGTATCTTTGAGCTATAATAACTTACGTCAAACAATCAAATAGTAAATCTTTTACCCTTTTAAATATGATTCCCTCTGCCTTTACTAAAAAACCCAGTTTTTCTGAAGCTTAAAGACTTTCTTACGATCAACGAAAGCTTCCAACCATTTTTGGTGGTTGAAAATTGTGATATTTGTTCGTATATTGAATTTCATATGTTTTTAAACAAAACAAGTAGACTTTCGGGACTTGGGCTTTTGTCAAAGTGTCGCCCTACGTGACTTTAGTAAAAATGGCATTTTATGTTATATTTTCAAACAAAAATGGTTTAAAAGACTTTCATATCAGAATAGAAATCTGATGTTACAAATTTTCCTGCTTTGTTCCTATTCCGTTAATTATTAAAATATTGTATTATTAATCACAAGGGTGGTGTCTGATTGGTTTGAGCTTGACTCCAAAAGTCAAAAGTATCAGGAAATCTTAGGTTCAAATCCAAAGAGGAACAAAAAATCCCCTTGTGGCCACGGAGGTTCAAATGCGGTGACTCTGGACTATCTGCAAAGCGGTTGATCATCCTGGGATTAGTCGGCTCGCATAGCATGTTGGAAATCCAGATTAATAAAAAAATACGTATTGTTTTCTAATTTAATATAAATTTATTTATCTTATTATTGTGTTTTCTATTCTTAATAAAATGATAATATGGTTTTACATAATTAATGAATAAAAACGAAAAAAAAATTTATACAATAAATTTTTTATTTTTAATTGAGACGAGCTCAAAATATTAACACGACCCCAAGTATGGATACATGGACAATAAAAATTATTATATATTTTTTAATAAAAAAATTAAAATATTTGATTTGACAAATTATTTAATTAAATGTCAAATTCCAAATAAAGATGCATAAAATTGTCCATGTCGAAAAAGGCCCCTGGAACAAGCTCGGGCGGGCAAAAAACCTTTTCAAGGTCGTCTTAAAATCACTACAAAACAAATGACTTTAATTACAAAAATCACACAGAAAAATTTTCGTCAATGATTACCAACGGATCACCAAGAAAATACCAATGGTTTGGTAAAATCCGATGCTTTTCGAGAAAATACCAATAGATCACCCAAATAATCTGTGGTAATTTATCACTGATTTGAGTTACCCACCAACTTTTCCCGATCATATATATTAGTTGTTTGAAAACCTATAAATATTGGTCCATAACATAAGTAGTAGGATCGTCTAACCAGCGTTTACTCCTTGTTTCTTGACTTTGGAAGATGAGATACTGATATCGAGATCTGATCTTGTCGTTTTGCTTTACTGCATAGGCTAATGAGATAGATCGACCCAATTTCATGTGATAGAAAAGAATATTTGTTTTTCATTATTGTAAATATATATATATATATATATATATATCAGATGTTTTTTTTCGTGCACACGTTTCTTTGCAAAGGGATCTATTAACTTTTAACGCTTATTAAAAGGTACTAATAAGTTTGATTGTGGTTGCAAGATCTTTTAATAACTGTCTTATTTTGTAAAGACATTTAAATCATATTGAAGAACGTTTATCTGATCAAAAAAATTAAAGTTTATTTGAGTTATTTAGAAGATCGATCATGTTTTGTTTAAATAAGCTAATGATCGTATATCTTATTTTGTTTATTTGGTGACTGATTTGACGGTTATTTAAATACCGATCTTAACATTTATAGAACCATTGTTATAGTTTTGGGTTATGTTAATTCTTCCATAGTTTAATTAATTGTTCGTAGTTGTAATTAATTGATCAATAAGCCATTCTTACATGGTTGTATTTATGCTTAAAAAAATATATTATCATATATCTTATTTTGTTTAAATTCTAAATTAGGGTTGAGTGCACGTGAGACTAAAGATTTTTCGTGAAACCAGTAAGATTAATTTATGTTCATTGATCAACTTTATAAACTAATGATCTAATGGTCTAAAGTTGCACGGTGATAATTTTGTGATTATTGAGAAGTCTCGTGGCAATTTTGTGATTATGAATGTTCAGATTGTAGATCTAATCCAAGGGTTGAGAATTGGTCTTACGGGTCTCACGAAAAATTCTTGGTCTCACATGATCTCAAATCTCTCTCTCTCTCTCTCTCTCTCTCTCTTTCTCTCTCTCTCTCTCTATATATATATATATATAGAGAGATATATATATA